GTGTGATTTTTGTAGTGTATTTTGTTTATTATGTATTTGTTATGTAGTATATAATTTGATTTTTATAATGTGTAATGATTAAATATTCGTTTGGGTGCCTTTTGTTGTGTAGAATGTAATTTGTGTGTTGTAATCACTTTTTTTTATTGGATGTAGGTTCTCATGATAGATTAAGGAATTACAATGACAAATTTGAACGAATTGTACTTTCTTACCTTGGTTTTGCTAATCTCTCCTCCGACAGCTTTACCTTGCATGAATAATATTAACAGTGTACATTTTATTACAGTGTAGATAGGAATGTTTAGTTATCAATGCTACACTGTCCTTCAAAAAAAAACACTTATTCAAATTACCAGCATGAGTTCTTACCTCAGAGAAGCGGTTTAATGTTATTTAAATTTACTCTCACTATTGATTTGAGTAAGTAGCACTGAATGAAAGCAATTTTTAACGATTTTCACAATATGATATTTATTAATTATTCATCTTTAAATTTCGAACAATATTTTAAGAAACACAGAAACTAGATTTGTTATGGACTTTTACATGACTTAATAACTGATAAATTTCTTAACTCTACCTAACATGATTTAGAAAATGTTTGGTTAACCAATTAATACTGTTTTAAATGTTTTACGAAACAAACTCACTTATATTAAGAACACAGAAACTAAACTAATCCTTATACTATGAAATGTTCAAAAATATCATTTTAATTTTTATCCACTGACATTGTCTATGGTTTGAAATGAAGTTTTCAATTTCACAAAATGTTTTTACTTCGAATTCGCAACACTTTAATTTATGTTTTGGAGAATATGCTTAGGCAACTGGACTTACGTTTTCATAATCTCTGCATTGGAATGTTCAATCGTCACTCTAACCTCACTTTTAGTCGTGGTTTGACAGCTGTACTCGTCTCTTGAAGATGGTTTTTGTGTGTGAGTTGGTTGTTCCCTCGTTTTCTACGATGTTATTTGGGGAGCTACGGGATAACATGCACCCCTCACCTGTGTCTGGGACCAACTTGTTTCTCCTCCAACTTGTTTACTTCCCAACGATGCTCTGTTGTTTTCCGTTACAAGGTAAATTTTCTGATTTGTCCTTTTGTTATTGGTCACTTGTATCCATGATATTGTTTTCTAACTGCGCACTTTCTCCAACATATTGCGATGTAATTTTATTTTAATTAAATTACGGCGTAATTTGTATTTTGTAACTGCGTAGTAAATTTTATACATCTTAAAACTAATTTACAAGAAATTTTTATATGACATTCTGCATGACAATTTTTATAATAAACTTCTAGCCTATGTGTTTTTCTGATACTATAATATTTGAATTTTCTTTTGTACTAATTTATTTAACGTTTATTTAATTGTAAAATTGTTAAATTGGCCTTTCTTGTGGCATTTTTCTTTTGCTTTCATGCTTCCACTTCGATCCTAAACTTTATCTTTTTGACATGCTTCTCTATTAAAATGTATTAGTTAAATTTTGAATGATAATATTTTAATTTTTATATGAAATAACTATGGAATGAGATTTTTATTTTACTTTAAAAGTAATTTATGTCTTTCTTATAGTCTACATTATAATTTAATGAATTTTTCTCTGCTATTACTCGGTGTCGTGTCTTGAGATACAGTGTGTTCATTTCAATAGAGAAATTTTAAATTCCAAACTGTCAAATGTATGACTTCATTGAATATTTGGCATATGATGACATTCTTTCGAATGTATCGATATGCAGCATCCATCGTAATTGTTTGTGTTTGACAAATATTTGGCAAGTTACCGCATCATTTGCAGTCGCCTTAAGACCAATTGCTCAGTTGTCTGGCACTACACGACACGATTCGTTATGTTGCGTTATCGAGACAGAATTAAACAGGTGACACTTAGGGCACGTCCACACTTTTAAGCAGTGGACGGATGGCAGGCACTGGAATTTTTTTGAAAAATCGTTTACATGAAAAATGTACACACGTCTGCAGTAACTTGAAAGCACACATCGGTTGTTTTTGTGGTATCCCACTTTTTTAGCAAAAAATATATTTAGTCGCCGCTCTTGACTTCCATAAGAGGGAGGGGGCAAAAATTTAGGCACAAAGTATTGGAAAAAAAATTAAATATAATTGGGTAGTAGTTTTATTTTAAGTACTATTGAAATATAAGGAAAATGTACTCAACATTATTTTTTATAGTATATAGTTCTAAACTTTTCAATTACTTCAATTTTGGTATTTCTCACCATTGATTTATCAATCGATTTAAACTTTTACAATTTTTTAAAAAACACAAAAAAATAATATGTAAGTAACAAAATTTTACACCACACCTGAACAAATTATGTTTATTAATATAAATAACACGGGGAATAGCTTTTACATATTTGATTACGGTCGAATTAAACAGAGCCCAAACTGCATAGTAAATATGCACTACTCCCACTCCGTCTTTCACTGCTCCACGACGGTAACCATGACCACCGCTGTAAACACTTTACAGATGTAGAGGCCACGTATTCAGAGTTTTGCAAACAAATTTTGCAAGTTGACTTAAATTAACTGCACATTACAAATTAAACATTTACTTTTTAACGTGTTTCATATGTTAATCTATTTAATTATGTAGTAATCATATAAATAATATTTGCAACAAGTGCAATAAATTGTTTGGTTTTATAATAAATAACATGAACTTTAGGCATAAAAAGTCAATGAAATTCTTGTATTATGCTTACATTTACAGTAGGTTAAATTTTGCGAGTGTTATCTGGAACTCCACTTATAACATATAGAAAATTAGATTAGAAAGATTGCAAAACAGATTCGCCCGTTACTTTTAGAATAAATAAATGGCATCTGTAATGTTCCTAATATCACAGTGACAAAACAAACATTTAAATTATCTACCCTAGTGAACCGAAGATTTCATTCAGACCTCATATTTTTGTTCAAATTGCTTAACAACCTAATCGATTGTCCTGAACTTCTATCTTTGTTAAACTTTCACGTTCTAAAATACTAGAAAAAATTATTTATTCGATATAAATTTAGGTACGAATAGCTCTAGGTGTATGTAGAATAATGTCGTCCTTTAATAGTTATTTATCAAATAACAATGAATGTATTTCTTTCTTCTTTTAATTTATTTTACATATTTTAACTATTTCGTGTGTGTGTGTTTGTATGTCTGTCTTGTAGTACTGTGTTCTCGATTTTCTGTTCAACTATATATTTTTTTGTTTGTTATGCATTTGATAGATATTTTCCATCTTTTATTAACAAATTAGTGGAAACTGTTGTGGGTTTAAAACCTGTATTCCCTAAACTGTAAAATAAATAACATTGTAAATTATTTTTTTTACTATGAAAACTTCTAGGGGTCGGCGCCCCAGCCTCCCCGCACCAGCAGCCACTGAATATATTATTAGAAATTCTTTTTAAGGAAAAAATATTTCTTCAGGAGCGCCAAGAAAAATTTCTATTTATTAAAATATCCTCAATTATCCTTGCATACACGTCAAAATGTATCAAATTGTTTTAATCAATAAGATCTATGTATTACATTTGTATGTGGACTTTCATTTTATTTAAAAAAAGTTTCTGCTCTATCAGGCAGTTTTTGTTGTTACACAACACATTAATGTGTTGAATTATACTTTCATATAAAACAGCGTAAAATTAAATAGAAATCAGTTCATTATGAAGATATTTTTGTAACTTATAGATAATATTTTTGGAAGACTATCAGTTAGAATCTCAGAAAGTATATTGAAATTAACTTCAATTTAAAATTTTTATATTGGTACATATGGCTTTTCGGGAATTATAAATTCAGATCTAATATTTTCAGTTCTGCTGTATTCCTAGTATTACAGTAACTTCCTTATTCTAAATTAGAAACCCTCTGTAGAACACATTTTCGATTTTCAATTTTATAGTCATTTTCATCAGAAAGTATTGTGCCTAACATCAATAACTTGTTAGCGTTGTGTGGATTTTGTGTTTTTTTTTTTTTTTTGAAGAAATTAATTAGAGAGAAGAATAGGTATTAATGACCGATTGCACCAAATGTCGAGCTCTCCTTATAAAAGAAAGGGAAAAAGTAATAGAAATTTGAAAAAAGATTTTTTTAATTTGTGGAACACAAAAGAGTTTACAATTTCTTTAAATTCGTAAGTAGGTACCTATTAAAATTTTATAAAGTACTTACCACAAATAAAATTTAAACATGTACAGGGTGATTCACTATATTTTGAGGACCCCTTTAAAATTTTTATTTTAACCCTTCAGTGATAACGTGCAATCTTGCGACACGAGTGATAACGTCGGTCTGACTGACCGATAGTAATGTTGACCCCAAAAAACCGTTCTCTAGGTATTTTTAAACATTGAAAATAGAAAATATTGAAGAAAATAAGAAAAAACTGTAACCAAAACTTTATTCACTTGGGTAAATACACCATATGAAAACAATATAATAAAAGTAGAGTAGACAAAAATATCTAAAAACTTCTTAAGTAATAATATGATAAGTATACTTTATCAAAGAAAAAACATAAAAATAAAAATTACTAAACTATAGAAAATATGGCACAAAAGTTACAAATGTAATTAATCGATGTCCATTTTTAGCTTTTTGGCTTCGCCTTTTACTCCTGGTAAATGAGTGATTATGTTTTCTGAACGGGTTCTCACGTTTCTTGTGGGAAAATGTTTGTTCCACTTCGTTGTACCGTCTTTTCCAAGGAAATAAGGTTCATTGAAAGTAACAGGATCTTCCTCAGCATCTGAGAGATCTTGTTCTGAAGCCGTGTCTTCGTCAAATATTTTAATGTTGTCTATTTCGTCGTCATCTTCAGAGTCATCGTATTCGGTAACGTATGGATCAATTTCGTTCATCAACTGTAACAGTCTAGCTTGTTCTTTCTCGTAGGACATTTTCCTGAAGAAAAAACAATATTTTAAATGTAAATAACACAAAAAATAAAATTACATCTTACCTAATCCGTAGAATATTTTATTGCACGAGTGATAACGTCGGTCTCGTACACCGTAATATGCGATCGTTTAGCAACACGCGCATGATATGACCTAATATTGTATACTAATGTCCGTTAACAGATTACGGGAAGGTACTCTAGCGCCCACTCCCCCACCATCAAAGATGTGCCACACTAGGAAAAAAACATATTGAGTCGGTCTGTGAGACCGAACGTTATCACTGGAAGGTTAAGAGTTATAAAAAATTGTTAAATATAAAAGTTGCATAATTTTTTATGAATTTTTCGAAAATGATAGTAGAAAAACAGATGAAGTCCAAACAAAATGGCCGCGGATGTTAACTTTGTTAAGTTAAATGGAACACCCTGTATATTTTTACATATTTGGATAGAACGTTCCCTGTAAAGCATAGCCATATAGGGTTTGTTGGGTCCATCTCTAACAATAAGCAAGATACTTT